GGATGTATCGATCTTGTGCTTGGGTTGTCACCCTTGGTCTTCCTGACCTTGGTCTGTCGTCAACTATGTTGGTGTTGTTGTATCGGGTCCACAGTGCGGAGATTGTCTGTCTGGATACGCCAAAGTGCCTTGCTGAGTTGATCCAGCTTGTAATCTCCCAATTGCGTTGTTCCGTTGAGCTGCATTCAGTCTTGGCATTCTGTCACCGCCTCTACTGCCGTTATAAGGACTGTATGAACAGCCGTTGATGTGGATTTTTATACCCATTCAGCAGGGGGGCCTGCATGCCTAAATGCAGGATCCTGTGCTGCACGTTTTTTACAGGCGGTTGCGTTTGGATGAAGCTGAAAAATTGATCCCCAAACGTGCATGTGTTATCGCGAATTATAGACACATCATCTTTCTGTTTGACTTATTTGGTTCTCATTTAATGTAATTATTTTAGATATCTGGCAAAAAGTGGTTTTACATCTATGTCAAGTTTCTTTTTTTGAAGAGTACATTTTAAAGATGTCATTAATTATCCTAAGTTGTAATACTATTGTAAACCATAAGCCAAACATTTCGGCGCTCTCCACAAATATATATGTGTGTGTGAGTATATACTTGTAAGGTATAAAAAGCACGTATGGATTCATATTTTGTTATCACTGTATAAATCCCTGGGCCCGTGAATAACATACATGTTGATTGTGAATACATTGTATGAGAAACGCTGGATTTGAAATGAAGCAATGTTTGTGAAATGAGCTGAGTATTAAATGAATCACTAATGTAATGTTTGACATCATCTCCAATCATCCAATTTAAATGACAAAATTGTGTTAATCCTCAAATTAAAGAGGTTCATGAGAACCCTGTATGTCTGCCAAATAATGTTTGATAAATAGGTCAATATACAGTATATACACAGCTACGTAATGAGATAATACGACACATGACAGGCCCTAGTGCAGTAATCTGTTCAATTTTAGTATCGATTCAGTGCATATTTTGTCTATTATCAGTAACACTATAAAACATAACACAATGGTTATGTTTGACGCTCTCGTTTCACTACTTAATACTCATTCCTAGTGTGGACCTCCATGGAACGTTTCAGCAGAGACCATCATTTCAGCCATGCCAATTTGTTTTCTTGCTTTGACGTTGTTTTATTCATTAACACGTGCTCATGATAATTATAGTCAGAATCGTACAATCGACTCTGCTGTTAACAGAGATTTCTTATGAATGTGGAAAGGGTTTTCGCTTTTGTTGTTGTTGTTGTTGTTGTTGTTGTTGTGCAAAGGGCTTTGTCTCTTTAATTGTACTTCTTTTATCTATTTACGTCGATTAAAGATATCCATATTTGATCTACGTTTTTTGTTAACGTGCATATGCCTGTACACTAAGCAGTACATTTCTTTAGCAACTATTATAAGCGGATGAAAACAGTGTCCATCTGGATCATTTACTGACATATATGCAAATACCAAAGGTCATGATCAGGTAGGTACTACTCAGGACGGTATTAGTTGGAGGTAAGGTGGTATGGATTTGGTCCGAAAATACTCTCTCTACTTGTTGTTACCCTGCCTGACGCGCTTGGCAATAAGTCTCTCTCTCTCTCTCTCTCTCTCTCTCTCTCTCTCTCTCTCTCTCTCTCTCTCTCTCTCTCTCTCTCTCTCTCTCTCTCTCTCTCTCTCTCTCTCTCTCGTTATCTTCAATATATACTCAAGACAGGTTCATTATCGATCATTCCTTTCTCTCTGTGTCACCCAGGCGTTTTGGCGTATTTCGAACATACCTCGCGCAGCTGCTGAACCAGTTATCAGTTTTTTCTTCACGTACAAACTGGCAGTGACATGATCTGGTTACATGACTCATGTCAATATTCAAACACTTTTAAGATACGGATAATCCCAATAAACACGATATATTAGACTGAGCGAACACTGTAACCACTAGATTATCCAACCAACCGTCACATACGAGTATATGAGAGTTCTATCCATACTTACTCCAGCCCATACATCTAGCGTGTCGTCGTATGACGTGACCAAGGTGTGAGTATCATTGAGTGTGATGTGAATATGGTGATGGTTTGATGCGAGTATCATTTGGGTATTGTGCGAGTATCATTTGGGTATTGTGCCAGTGATCATGTGGGTATTGTGCGAGTATCATCTGGGTATTGTGCGAGTATCATTTGGGTATTGTGCGAGTGATGTGCGAGTGATGTGCGAGTTTCATTTGGGTATTGTGCGAGTATTATTTGGGTATTGTGCGAGTGATGTGCGAGTATCATTTGGGTATTGTGCGAGTATCATTTGGGTATTGTGCGAGTGATGTGCGAGTATCATTTGGGTATTGTGCGAGTATCATTTGGGTATTGTGCGAGTGATATGCGAGTATCATTTGGGTATTGTGCGAGTGATCATTTGGGTATTGTGCGAGTATCATTTAGGTATTGTGCGAATATTCATTTGGGTATTGTGCGAGTATCATTTGGGTATTGTGCGAGTATCATTTGGGTATCGGGTGAGTAACATTTGGGAATGGTATGAATATGGTGTGATTATGATTAAGTATGATGTGAGTATGTCAGTATTATATTTCCGTATGGTTTATTACGTAAGTATGATTTAGAATGATTGAGTTTGTACTGAGCATGACGTGAGTATCATTTAGTATGATTTGAATATGATGTCAGTATGATTTGAGTATGACGTAATATGATTTGACTTTGATGTTTGTATGATTTGAGCATCGCGTAAGAATAGTGTGATTATGATTTTAGTGTAATATGAGTATGATGTGAATATGATTTGAGTATGGAGTGTATAGCATGTGACTATGACTTGAGAATGATGTGAGTATCATTTAGTATCATTTGAGTATGCTGTGAGTATGCTGTGAATGTGTGAGTATTTCAGTACAGTGCGAGTATGATTGAAGCTGTGGATGAGGGCGTGAGGAACGTTCCAGGCCGTCGGGCACACAATGCACAACACGCTTTGTCAATGTCAGATCTTCATTTTAGTTTGCTCTTACTAAATTCAGGAAGTCCTTGGGGATCCTTGAGTTATTTCTCGGAAACTGGAATTCTATTGACTTTTCGACATTTTGAAATTTGACATAAGTGACATAATTCCTTTTGAGATACTCCCTAGTATAGGTAGTTATGCATTGGTTGCTACTATCTGCATCTCCAGTATACATGTATGCACATCACGTCCTGACAATAGGTAGTTGTAAAACCCTCCAGGAATAATACTGAGTTAATATCGTTTTACGCCGCTTTTAGCAATATCACGGCTTGGGTCAGAAAAACTCACTTCTGAAGTTAAGAGGGTATTTAGATTTTCTTGATAAATATCTTGTTATGCAGTGACCTTACAAAGTTAACATTTTCACGAGCGGCACAGGCACTTTATTATTTATATTTATTATGTATTTCTTAGCAGATCTGAAAGGGGCGGTTGGGTAGCCTAGTGGTTAAAGCGTTCGCTCGTCAAGCCGAAGACCAGGGTTCGAATCCCGACATGGGTACAATATATGAAGCCCATTTCCGGTGCCCCCAGTCGTGATATTGCTTGAATATTGCTAAAAGCTGCGTAAAAACACACTCACTCACTCACTCACTAAGTCTGAAAACCATAAAGCTATCCTCCTCTCGTTCTCGGCTTGACTACTGTTATAGTCTTTTGACAACGAGTGAGTGAGTGATTACGCCGGATTTAACTTTTTTTTCAAGCAATTTTAAAGATTCAGCATGAGTGAGTGAGTGAGTGAGTGAGTGAGTGAGTGAGTGAGTGAGTGAGTGAGTGAGTGAGTGAGTAATATCACAGCCGGGCCAGAAATCATGAGGCTATGAAGTTTAGAGGGTATACATATAACCTACACCTGCACAGTTCTACTTTCTTATTTATATTTGTTATGAGTTCCTTGCAGATATTAGAGGGCACGGGTGGCCCAGTCGTCTAAGGCGCTGTGCAGAGTTGCGTTCCTTCGGCACACCAGAAATCTATGATTGTGGCTTCGAATCCCGGTTCGCCCCGAGTATATGTTTCGAAGTTTGTCGTGTGGTAAACGTCTGAGACCTGCATCACTTCGGGCTTTCCTCCCACATTAAACTGAGACGTCGCGATATAACTGGAATAATGTTGAAAGCGGCGTTAAACCCAACTCACTCACTCAGATGCATATATTAGTCATGCAAAAAGAACCGTCATGCAATTGATCCAGATTGAAACAAGATCCGATAACCGGGCCAGAAATAATAATGCTATGAAATTAAAAAGAGGGTATTTATGACCTGACAAGGATGACATTTTCCTGAGCGGCACAGGTCTACTTTCTTATTTGTATTTGTTATGATTTCCTTGCAGATATTAGTCTAAAACCCGTCATGCAAATAATCCAGAATGAAAAGTGAAATAAAGCGTTATCTAAGATGAAATATTGGCTTACATTTTCAGATGTGTATTTAACCCCAGCAATGAGGTGCTCCGAGGCTTTCCCAGTAAGATGAAGTTTGGACTTCAAACATCAGTGTTCTAATATCGAAGACAAGAATTGAAACCTTTTCATTAAGGATGACTGGCATGGAACCCAGAACATCCTGATAAGTAGTCTTACCATCAGCACAGAACTGGTTGAAAGGAGCAGGCGCATAAGAAGGTCCCTTGGATTGAATATCCCGAGGATTTTACATTTCCAACCCAATCCTTGGAGGTGCGTTTCCTCCGATATATATAACCTTACATGTCCTGATACGAATCAACTGAATCGGTCATATTTGGCTGTCACGTTAATAGCATAACACTCAAGACACATTCCCAGGAACTCTGTAAATCACTAATCACTAATTTTCATCATTATTTTGCCTTTAAGCTCTATGAAATCTGTTCCCGCAGATATTCGAGACTAAGACATTCCCCAGTGTTTACAGTTTGATTTTGTTTTGTTGACAATTTTCAAACATCCAAGAAAGTAAAAAGAAAGTATAGAAAAGCTTATTTTTTCACTTTATTTTTGAAAAATCAAATATATTATTTGAGCAACCGATAAAGTGTCGGTTTGTGAAGATGTATGCGTGACTGAATATTGCACACATTGTCCAACAAATCGCTTAGTGTGCTTTAGAAACACTTTCTGTGGACAATGGATGGGCCGGACTCATCGTACTCCTGCTTGCTGATCCACATCTGCTGGAAGGTGGACAGAGAGGCAAGGATGGAGCCACCGATCCAAACGGAGTATTTCCTCTCTGGAGGAGCGATGATCTTGATCTTCATTGTTGGTGGAGCAAGGGCTGTGATCTCCTTCTGCATTCTGTCGGCGATACCGGGGAACATGGTGGTACCTCCTGAGAGAACAGTGTTGGCATACAAGTCTTTACGAATATCAACATCACACTTCATGATGGAGTTGTATGTTGTTTCATGGATACCAGCAGATTCCATACCCAAGAAGGATGGCTGGAAGAGGGCCTCTGGACAACGGAACCTCTCGTTGCCAATGGTGATGACCTGACCGTCGGGAAGCTCGTAACTCTTCTCCAATGAAGAGGAAGAGGCAGCAGTCTGCATTTCCTGTTCAAAGTCTAAAGCAACATAAGCTAATTTTTCTTTGATATCCCTGACGATTTCTCGTTCGGCAGTGGTGGTGAAGGAGTAACCACGCTCGGTCAGGATCTTCATGAGGTAGTCTGTGAGGTCACGACCAGCAAGGTCCAGTCTCATGATGGCGTGGGGAAGGGCGTAACCCTCGTAGATAGGGACAGTGTGGGACACACCATCGCCAGAGTCCAAAACAATACCCGTCGTACGACCAGAAGCGTACAGAGACAGAACAGCCTGGATGGCCACATACATAGCTGGAGAGTTGAAGGTCTCGAACATGATCTGGGTCATCTTTTCACGGTTGGCCTTGGGGTTGAGTGGAGCCTCAGTCAGGAGAACGGGGTGCTCCTCTGGAGCCACACGGAGCTCGTTGTAGAAGGTGTGATGCCAGATCTTCTCCATGTCGTCCCAGTTGGTGACTATACCGTGCTCAATGGGGTACTTGAGGGTGAGGATACCTCTCTTTGACTGAGCCTCGTCACCGACGTAGCTGTCCTTCTGTCCCATACCGACCATCACACCCTGGAAGCAAAGAAAATTTCACATTACATGTAATATAACATATGCAGGATTTCGTTTCACAACAATAAAATCAAAATTGATCAAACGACTGGTGTAACAAATGAAACAAGTTCATTATTTCACCAAAATTAAATACACACATGTAACAAATGTTATATTTGGGATTCCCTTTCTGAGTAAAGTACAGATTCTCGTACTCTTTTGGGCCGAGTCCCGTCCGGGATTCGAACCCACACTGCCAGAGTGAGGCACCTAATCGCCAGCACAAATGTAAATATGCATATGACAGATAAGAGAGGTGATTCCGAATTACAACCAATGTCAATGATGTACACGGGCTTGGTTTGAGTAGCAAAACGTCCCATGCACCAAGAAATGATCAACTTGCATTTCGCATGTGCCAATCAAAATTCCAGTTTATGAAATGTTGTTCAATTGTGTTACATGCTTTCGCAATCCACAAAATCATCTGGTTGTGTGATCATTGCTATTCCCTACAGAGGACTTCCAATCAAAGAATACGCTATAGAATATGAGTTTATATGGTCAATGGTGTAGTGTCCCTATTCTATAACTATAATACTTCAAACGGTTAATGTTTATTGAAAATGAAACGTATTCTTCGCTGTGCACTGTCAACAAGTGTACAGATTCAGAATCTCCCTTTTCACTATTGCTCTTTTTCAATATTTTGTTTTAATATTTGTTTTAAATTTTCAGAGACTTAGCGTTACTCTACAACCACATCTACACTGCAGGTTATAACCATGTGATAATAAACGAATGTGGTTATGTATTTGGGGAAATATTAAGCCATTCAAACACTTGGATCGGTTTTCATGTGATGGCAGAGATATAATTCACCTCTCATGTTGGTTGGTCGAGTATATTGTTATAACTTCCTTACAAGCTGAAAAACTTACCTGATGTCGTGGGCGGCCAACGATGGAGGGGAAGACAGCTCTGGGGGCGTCGTCACCGGCGAACCCGGCCTTACACATGCCGGAGCCATTGTCGATAACCAACGCAGCAACATCATCATCCATGGCTTATGTATGTAGGCTGACAACAGTAAACTCGGCAGTGACCCTGAGATGTCTTCACGCTCGGCTCGCCGGTCCTTAAATAATGGAGTGACCCTTGCCTTTCGCCTATACCACGTGATTAATAGGTCACCTTATTAGGTCATCTCACGTGACCAGTACCCCGATCAAGTGTCATCCCCCCCCCCCCCCCTCCCCCCAGCCTCCACCCCGCCACACGCCCCGAGCCATCGCGCGTGCTGATCTATGCCAGTCTAACTGATTCAAACGCAATTATATTAATAAAAAAGTAAACATGCTTGTTTATGCAGGTGTTTATAGGGCATTCGGGATTTTATTTTATTTTTTTATGCCTTATAGATATAGTGAGTGTGTGAGTATGGATTTACGCCGCTTTTAGCAATATTCCAGCAATATCACGACAGAAGACACCAGAAATGGGCTTCACACATTGTATCTATGTCAGGAATCGAACCCGGGTCTTCGGCGTGACGATCTAACGCTTTTACCACTAGGCTACCCGACCGCCCGCTTAAAGATATATGACTACAAGGTTTCATGGTGTGACAAAAATACTGAGAATGTTAATGGGAGGGCATGTTAATTAGTGTCATGCATTCGCTGTGTAGAGAGGGTTTTTTTGTAACTTTTGTCAGCAATTATGTTGTGAAATGCCTTTCTTCGTGTATATATCAAAATGTAGATATGTATATCTTTAATCTATATTACTTAATGAAGCTGCCTGAAAATCCAGATTCGCGCCCCCATCCCACCGACAGACTCAGCTGAGCACCCACGCCCCTGGCGGTCCCCTGTGATCAGTGACAATAGAGTGCTGATTACATAATGTTATTTACATACACCAAGCCCCCCGGGGTGTGCTGCTTTCTGTACCCTAGGGGACGGAGAGTGTTTTAGATATACGGCATCTTCAACACATACTCAGACAGGTTCATTATCGACCAGGCAGCCATTCGTCACTCTTCAATGTCGCTACCGGCGTTTTGACTTGTATCTGGCATGCCGAGCATAGACGCTAAATCAAGGGGAACTAGGATGAGGCCTTGTGGCAGCCCTGTCAAGATACAAGGAAGCAACACTCAATACAAAGTACAATATGAAATAAATGTGCCCAGCCATATTTTACTTATGAGGCACAATAAAATACATATAATGGTATGTTTTCTACGCTTGTGTATAAATAAATATGTTAAAGTAAAGCATAAGTTAAAGGTGGTTCCAATCAAAAAGTTAAATAAATAATAAATTAATATTTTGAACGAGTGCTAAAATGTGAAACTTTTTAACATAATCACTTGTCTTTATTTGATTATTTTAAATAGAGTTATGACAAAAAATAGTGTAACAATGTTCTTTCTACAAAGAAACATCTTCAATTAATGTTTTAAGAAAGGATATTTGACATGTGATACAGTTGAAAAAATAGGCCGGAGATCTTCCTGAATTTATTTTTTTAAATAATCTGTACTTCATTATTTAGGTCTGATAACTCAGATAAATCCCGCAGCTACATTATTTTTCTAAGCACAGTAACAAAGTTCCATAATTACACCAATCAGATGTCTCGCTTAATTGCCGTGAACACTAATGCTTGTTAGCCGGGATGCATTCTTCTTTGGGCTGCTGGTAATTTAAGCCATGGCCTGGTGATGTAGGTATTATGTAAGTGGGTAGTTATATATAATGAGAGTTAATCGGAACGATTGTGGCGGCTTGGAGTGTTGGTGACTGAGCTGGACGGTTGGTTGACACGAGTGTCAAAGGGATAAGGAATTCACCATCGTAATCGACACGTCTATTGCGTGATCAGCATTGTACTCAAGATGAGGTTGAGTTACTTGGGATTTAACTGCACGTTCAAGATTATTGAATTCACATCACTTTATTACTCGAAAACCTACGACCGGTATACATGAGCATGCATATATATTTATCCCAAAAAACAGTATACACACATTTAATAAATAATACAAGGAAGGTGATCATACATTCAATAAATAACACAAGGAAGGTGATCATACAATCAATCAATAACACAAGGAAGGTGATCGTACATTCAATACAAAATGCAAGGAACATTAACATACATTCAATAAATAATGTAAGGAAAATGAACAAACATTCAATAAATAATACAAGGAACATTAACTTACATTCAATAAATAATGCAAGGAAGATGAACATACATTTAACAAATAATACAAGCAACATTCACATACATTCAATAAATAACACAAGGAACATTAACATACATTCAATAAATAATACAAGGAACATTAACATACATTCAATAAATAATGCAAGGAAGGTGATCGTACATTCAATACATAATGCAAGGAACATTAACATACATTCAATAAATAATGTAAGGAAAATGAACATACATTCAATAAATAATACAAGGAACATTAACATACATTCAATAAATAACACAAGGAACATTAACATACATCCAATAAATAACACAAGGAGGGTGATCGTACATTCAATAAATAACACAAGGAACATTAACATAGATTCAATAAATGATACAAGGAACATTAACTTACATTCAATAAATAACACAAGGAACATTAACATACATTCAATAAATAGCACAAGGAACATTAACATACATTCAATAAATAACACAAGGAACATTAACATACATTCAATTAATAACACAAGGAACATTAACATACATTCAATAAATAACACAAGGAACATTAACATACATTCAATAAATAATGCAAGGAAGGTGATCGTACATTCAATACATAATGCAAGGAACATTAACATACATTCAATAAATAATGTAAGGAAAATGAACATACATTCAATAAATAATACAAGGAACATTAACATACATTCAATAAATAACACAAGGAACATTAACATACATCCAATAAATAACACAAGGAGGGTGATCGTACATTCAATAAATAACACAAGGAACATTAACATAGATTCAATAAATGATACAAGGAACATTAACTTACATTCAATAAATAACACAAGGAACATTAACATACATTCAATAAATAGCACAAGGAACATTAACATACATTCAATAAATAACACAAGGAACATTAACATACATTCAATTAATAACACAAGGAACATTAACATACATTCAATAAATAACACAAGGAACATTTACATACATTCAATAAATAACACAAGGAACATTTACATACATTCAATAAATAACACAAGGAACATTAACATACATCCAATAAATAACACAAGGAACATTAACATACATCCAATAAATAACACAAGGAAAGTGATCAAACAGTCAATCAATAACACAAGGAAAGTGATCATACAATCAATCAATAACACAAGGAAGGTGATCGTACATTCAATACATAATGCAAGGAACATTAACATACATTCAATAAATAACACCAGGAACATTAACATACATTCAATAAATAACACAAGGAACATTTACATACATTCAATAAATAACACAAGGAACATTAACATACATTTAATAAATAACACAAGGAACATTAACATACATCCAATAAATAACACAAGGAACAATAAATAATGTAAGGAAAATGAACATACATTCAACAAATAATACAAGCAACATTAACATACATTCAATAAATAATGCAAGGAAGATGAACATACATTCAATGAATGATACAAGGAACATGCATCCAAATGGCAATAAT